GGGTGGTAGGGAATTGGGGGCTTTTCTCCACTGAAGAGTGGCTGGGAGGGCAACCAGGACTCTACACCTTTCCTCTTAAGAGACCTTTGGCTTTCAGGACTCTGAAGAAGAGGAACTAGCCAGTACTCCCCCCAGCTCAGAGGACTCGGCATCAGGATCTGATGAGTAGTGAGGAGGAAGATTCTTCTTGTGCTTGCCTTGTCACACGCCTAGGCTTCCCGCCCATGTTTTGGTACAAGTTTCTCCTTATATGACTTGTAGTCCTTGGATTCTGTGCCATCTGAACAAGCTGTCCTGGTGGTTTGCACTTCACTGGGACAGTGGGGGAGGCGTCTTAACTCTGCAGCTTCACAAGGATGGCCTTTTGTTATTTGGGGAGAGACTGGGTGGGAGGCAGGGCAGTGTAGGATCCAAGTCCTCATCCTACTTTCCCGACATTAGGGATATAGCTGCTTGTCCTGGTCAAGTTGCTGCAGCAGGGGTCATGTGAGGTCAGGCTTGTAGCTCCTAACTGGGGCCTATTTCTACCTTTATTTTGTATTTCTGGTCTGTGAAAATCAACATTTAATAAAGGGAACTGACTTTGGAAACCATGTCTTATGCCTTCTTTCTAGCCCTACAGTTGCTCTTACTTTTCCTGGAGGTGTTTACCATTCCTTCCTGACTGGGCAGGGCCCTCCTGGCCAGCCGGGAAGCAAGTCTCCGGGTACATCCTGTTCTGTTCCCGGCTGGACAAGCATCGGTTTTCACCCTCTTCTGCCGGCTGGGCCACCTGAGAGCTTAAAACGAGAGCTGATCTGATTAGGAAGTCTCTCTCACAGTTCCACTCCATTAGCCGAGCCAAGGGGAGGCAGCTCTTGGCTCCATCCTTAATCACCTATGAGTCAAGGGTCTTCCAAGGCTTCAGATAATGGAATCAGCATTGACTATTCTCCTGAAAATGGGGAAGTGGAAACCTGAGCTTGGAGAGTTGGGCAGGATGAGTGATATACTCTCCCGGGTGTGTGTTGGGTCATGGGGGTGCAGGAAAGGTGTGGAGTACGTGTGAAGCTTTATTTCCAATGGAAGGAGGACACCAAATTTTAGGATTGGGAAAAACCTGTATCTGAGAAAGGGGCCTGAAAGGAGGTAAATAAACAGCACTAACGAGGAAAGCAGTGCTGCCAGACCTCTCACGGAGGCTGTAAATCTGAGTAGATACACGTGCTGTGGCCACGTTGCGGACGTCCTCAGGAGGACTCAGGTGGTTGCAACAGGAAGCCTCCCCAGTCCGCCAACGGCTACCTTCTTGCCGGCGTGGCTCTATGGTGCTGCAGTCTGTTCAGGCGGCTGGGCCCGAGGAAGGGCCGCCCTGTCCCCTCTCTAGGCAGTCGTCTCGGTGGCCCTTTTACAGGGGCGCTCCTAGCTGCCGAATTGCGTCAGTTTCGTCCAGGTCCGAGCCTTGGGCGGGCTAGTCATTTGCAAGACTCATGAATAATTGAATACGGGGCAGCGCCTGTTTGCATACGGTGGGACGAGTGCTGCACGGGCTTCCTACTCCCGGGCGCCACCGGCTCCTGAATATTCATGAAGCGCTCCGGGGGCGTGGGCCTGGGCGGGGCTAGGGGCGGGGCCCTGCCGGGGCTCGCTCCGGCTCGGTCCCGCGGTGACGGCGGCGGCGGCGGCA